CCCCTTGTTCCCTGAACTCCTTCCCAGGGAGGAGTTGGGCTGGGGATGGATCCAATGTCAGGCTCTGGCTCCAGGCTGGGAGAGCTGGGAATGGCCAGGCTGGATTTGGGAAGGATCCCGGGAGAGCTTGGAGCACATTCCAGAGCCTGAAGGGGCTCCAGGAGAGCTGGAGAGGGACTGGGGATCAGGGCCTGGAATGACAGGACCCAGTGAATGGATCCCACTGGGAAAGGGGAGATTGGGAAGGGATTCCTGGCTGGGAGGGTGGGGAGGGGCTGGGCTGGAATTCCCAGAGAAGCTGTGGCTGCCCCTGGATCCCTGGCAGTGTCCAAGGCCGGGTTGGATTCCCTGGGATAGCGGGAGGTGTCCCTGCCCATGGAATGGGATGAGCTTTGAGGTCCCTTCCCACCCAACCACGCTGGAATTCCAGGATTTCCTCACCGCCCTCCCTGTTGCTCCAACACCTCCATCCCCTCTCCCCCTCCTTCCCAACCAATCCTGAGGCTCCGACACCAAACCCAAAAACCAAAAAAACCCCAAAACCCACCAAACCCCCAAAACGACTTTTTTTTTTGGGAAGGCCCAAAAAGCTGGAAAAGCTGGAAAATTCCCTTCCCGACCCCTTTCCCACTCTGCCTTTCCCACTGCCTTCCCTTGGCAGGCGATTCCCGGGTTTTTTCTGCCGCAGCCGCAATCCCGGTGTCCTTCCAACTGCTCCCCTTGGAAGCTTTCCAAAACCCGGGAATCTTTTCCAAAGGCATCGGCTTCGTACTTTAAATAGCAGGGAAGGGGGGGGGGAGGGAAGGGAGCTGCTCCTGGATCCATCCGGATCCTCCAGCCTGGAAAACCGAGGGTGATCCGCAGGGAAGGGCTGGGACCCTACGGAATGTCCCCCCCCCGACGCTGCCCCTTCCCAAATTATCCAACCCCATCCCTGGAGATTAATTCGGGGGGGGAGGTTTTCCATGAAAATCTGCTCCGTATCATTTTCCCAATCCTTAAGGATTTGGGGATTTTATTGGGTTTTCCAGCCC